GCGAGCTCTATCAGGGATAAATGATCGTCCCAATGGCCCCTGAAGTCAAGAACACAAGCTCAGAGCATATTCTCTAGTGTGCGGATCGTCCTTTCTGATTTGCCCATCGGTTTGAGGGTGGAATGCAGTACTAAGGGACAATTTCGTTCCCATTGCCTGTTGAAAATTAGTCCAGAACCGAGAAATGAACCTGGGGTCCCTGTTGGACACTACTGTCACTAATATTCCATGTAACCTGACTATCTCCCGAATATACATTCTTGCTAACTTGTATAAGGGGTCGGTCATTCTGATGGCTAAGAAGTACAAAGACTTGGTAAGCCGATCAACAATTACCAGATGACATCATGCCCTGAGCGTGCCCTAGGCAATCCTATCACGAAATCTATTGTGATATGTTCCCACTTCTACTCCGGAATTGGTAATGGTTGAAGTAGCCCGCCTGGACATTGATGCTTTGCTTTGATCTGCTGCCATACCAAACACTTAGAAACAAAGCTGGCCACATCTCTTTTCATCCCGTTTCACCAAAATCGGGGTCGCATATTTTGATTCATTTTAGTGCTTTCGGGATGCATGTCAAACTTTGAGCTATGAGCCTCTGTCATGATGTCATTTTTCAAGTCACTATCACCTGGAACACACACCATGTCTTGAAATCTAAGCAATCCATCGGCAGAGATTCGAAATTCTGAATTAACTCCCTGTTCTGCATCTTTCTTGAGGGCTGCTAAGGTGGAATCGGCGGACTGAGTTTCCTTTATTCTCTGGATCAACTCAAGTTGCACAGTCAGGTGGGCCAAACATGTGACTCTTTTCAGGTCTTGAAATCGTACCTGTTATGCAGCCCCTATTACCTTGCATTTTGAAATCATTAAGTGAGCTAATATACCTGCACTTTTTCTACTAAGTGCGTCGGCTACCAAGTTGCCCTTACCCGCGTGATATAAGATGTTGCAATCATAGTTCTTGAGAAGTTCTATCCATCTTCTCTGATGCATGTTGAGATCCTTTTGAGTGAATATGTGTTTCAAATTTTTATGGTCGGTATAGATCTGAAAGGTCTCCCTATACAAGTAATGACGTCAAGTTTTCAAGATGTGGATAATTGCGGTAAGTTCTAAATCATGGGTGGGGTAGTTTTTCTTATGACTCTTCAACTGGCTGGACCCATAGATTATGACCTTCCCATGCTGCATCAGAACACAACCTAACCCTAGGTAGGAGGCATCAGTATAAACTGTATATTCACCCGATCCGCTCGGTAAGGCCAACACAGGTGCAGTAGTCAACCGTTTCTTTAGTTTTGAAAAATTCCTTTAACAGTTCTCGTTCCACTCAAACTTGACGTTCTTCTTTGTGAGCCGAGTCAGAGGAACAGTTAGGTTAGAAAATCCTTTCACAAACCTGCGGTAATAACTTGTCATCTTCAGAAAGTTATAGATTTCCTTGATCGAGGTCAATTTTTTCCAGCCAAGCACTGC